AACCCCTAACCCCCCCAACTCTAACTTTAACCCTAACCCCAACCTCAGCACCATGGGGAGCAACCCTAACCCCTAACCCCTCTAACCCTAACCTCAGCACCATGGGGAGCAGAGCTTTAAGTCGCTTTGCTCCCCGAATCTGGAACTCTTTGCCATCTGACATCCGAAATACCGACTTTCACCCTCTTTTCAAAACATAACCCAAAACCCACCTGTTTAGAATTTCTTACCCTCTTAACCCCCCCTAACTCCAACATTCCCCTCATTCTGCACAGTTTTATTAATTTGCACTTTTATTTATCCATTCATTCACGATTATTTGAATGTGTTTATTGTATGTTTCTTATGTTTCGATGTAGTTTTGATGATGACAATTTCTGTAAAGTGTCCTTGAGTGGCATGAAAGGCGCTTTTTAAAAATAAAATGTATTATTATTAGGATTTTTATAATTATTAGAAAAAGACAGATTCTGTGGGAACCCTATTAAATGTTCAATTCCATCTGAGAGAAGCCAACTGAAATTCAGGGCTGATCCAACCCCCCCCCCTTCCTCCTCCTCCTCCTCCTCCTCTTCCTAATCTGTGTGGAGAACCGGCTGGATTCCCCCTCTGCCATCACCTGGTGGCTCTTCAGCACCGGCTGGTCGCTCCACTGGATAAAAAGCGGCTCCGCATCCTTCTTCTCGTTATACACAACCATCTGTCTCCATGACGACCGGAGGAGAGCAGGAAGAGAGTCGCGTGGGGGCGAGCTAAGCGGCGGTGGTGATTTGTGGGTGGTGGAATGATGATGGGAGATAAAGGGAGACTGTGTTTCCCCTTGCTCTCTGATGGTGGAAGCGTGGCCGGATGGGGGCAGCCGGGGCCTCCTGGTCCCCTCAGGTTCAGCACAGGGCTCTCCGGCTGGTTTTTGGGGCCCGGTCTGTTAGCCCCATTGGCTAAAAGAAATATATATACAGTAAAACCTCTACACTAGGAATTGAACTGGTTCCAGGACCGACTTCGTATGTTAAAATATTGGTATGTTGGTTAAAATATTCCCATCAGAATACACTGTAATTCCTATAACTCGTTCCAAAAACCTACGATAACTCCTTAATAAATACTGCAGATAATAACACATAGCAATAAAACAAATGACTTATATAAGAGAGATGTAAAAAGAAATAAATGATAAAGAAATAATCAATAAAAAGGGTTTTTATTGTCCCCTTACCTCAGAGACTGAATGGAGGTAGAGGTGGAGACTGAGATACAGGATGTACCCTAACTTACTCTGACTTTCACTACCTTAACTTTAAACTGACTTAGCTTATTCATTTTTATTTAAATTTTATATTTTATCATTTTTTCTATGACTTCGACATCATATAAGCGACATGCTAATGAAATCAAATGGAAAAGAAGGCAAGGCAAGTTTATTATACAGCATATTCCATGTTCAAAACCGTTCAAAGTGCTTTACAAAGAGTTTAAAAGCAGAAAAACAAAGAAGAAAATTAACAGAATAGATTAAATGGACAAAAAGTGAAGGGGGCAGATAAAATCCTTTCAGTTAAGCAGATGTTTTCATCTGGATTTAAACCTCTGGGGCTGATTTCTGTCTCGCCTCTTCAGGAAGATTGATCCAGATTTTAGGAGTAGGAAACTGAAATGAAGCCTCCCCTGGTTTGGTTCTGGTTCTGGGCCCCAGCAGGAGACCAGAACCTGGTTCTCAGAGTCCAGCTGGACTTTATGCCATGAAGAGACCAGAACACAAGCAGAGCTGCTTTACAGTCTCTGAGAGACAGGAAGCCAGAGACCTGAGAACTGGACTGATGTGGTCCTGGTTCTCAGGGACCTGAGAAATGGACTGATGGTCCTGGTTCCTTGTTCTGAACTGGACTGATGTGGTCCTGGTTCCTGGTTCTTCAGAGACCTGAGAACTGGACTGATGTGGTCCTGGTTCCTGGTTCTGAACTGGACTGAGACCTGATCTCTTTAATTCACTCTCTGGTGTTTAAATCAGCTTCTTCTGCTGTTTTTCTTTGGTTCTACTCGCATTTCTGTCTCTTCATGGTCTTTGTGGTGCTTTGTAGTTTTTTAGCTGTATTGTGTCATTTTTCTAGTAGTTTTGTGTTCAATTAGCTTAATTTGAAGGTTTTTTTGTGACTCGTGGACATTTTGTGTGTTTGTACTTAGGTACTTATTAACACATTTAAAGCAGCCTTTTGTGGTCATTTTATGTGTTATTCTTGGTCAGAAGAACACATTTTATTCAGTTTTAGGGCTTTATTTTGGTTGTATGTTCATTAGCTAACGCCTGTTTATAGATTAACCTTTAACATAGTTCATTCGCGCGGCAGGGAAAAGACTACATGCGCGTGAGCCTTCAGCCGGAGCCCCAGAGCGGGAAACTCTGGGTTCAGAGGGCGGAAGTACTTTTCTCCACTCAGGCTTCGGCAGAAAACCTCCCGCTCTCATCTCCGTCCTCCAGGAATCCGCTCCGGCGCGCGCTTACATAACGCATCCAGCTTCCATCCCTCGTGCGTGCGAACGCGCGCGCGCCAGGAGAGCGAGCCTGTTTTTTTGTTTTTTTTACGTTAACGCACGTAGTTCGGAGCTCGAGGCGTTCCGCGAACCCAGGACCCCGCGAGCTCGCTTCACCGGCAGGAAGGAGCGCGTGCGCTCGCGCGAGCAGCAGGATGGAGACGGGCGCGCTGTGTGGGTCACGCACGCGCTGGGAAAATGCCAGCAGCGGCGGAGGGAGAAACTCTGCTGCCCCCTGGTGGACATCGCCCGGAAAAGCGGCCGAATTCTGTCAGTGTGGCTCGTTTTTAAGACGTGAGGTGTCACATTTCCACCCGAGGAAACTCTTGAGTGACTCAGAGGACACCTCCAGTCCAGTTCAGGCAGCTGGAGGTGAAGTTTTCTAGAAGACTTTTGTCCTCTGATCCAGAAGCTTCTTCAGCTCTAACTGATGGTGGAGCTCTGAACTTAATATACTGGAAGTGGAACTAAAGGATTAGGGGGAAACCAAAGGTGGCTCTGGTCCACCTGGGGGGGTTCATTGTGGTTAGCAGCTAAACGGCTAATAATATGTGGAAAAATCAGAAAAACAACCAAAAATAAGCACCCAAAAAAGTATGAAAAAGACCAACAAAATAGGTGGAAGAAGCTGCAAAACAATGAATAGAAATGTAGAGTCAGATTAATATACCGTAGGTGGAACTAAAGAATTAGGGGGAAACCAAATGGGGCTCTGGCCCTCCTGCTGGGGGGCCATGGAGGTCACCTGGGGGGGTTCATGGTGGTTAAGGGGTTCTGATGGGTCCCCTTACGTATATTTCGCCGTTTAGCTGCATGTTAACAACCATTTTTGGTTGTTTATCTCCTTTATCCACATTCTTTTAATTGTTTTTCTGCTTCATCCACTTATTTTGTCATTATTTTTCAGATTTTTCCTCTTATTTTTTATTGTTTTGCTCCTTCTTCAACTTATTTTTAGCCGTTTAGCTGCTAACCACCATGAAACCCCCCAGGTGACCTCCATGGCCCCCCTGCAGGAAGGACCAGAGCCGCCTTTGGTTTCCCCCTAATCCTTTAGTTCCACCTGCAGTATATTAACCTCAGAGCTCCACCATCAGTTAAAGCTGAAGAAGCTTCTGGATCAGAGGCCAAAAGTCTTCTAGAAAACTTCCCCTCCAGCTGCCTGACTGAGTCTCTGGGTACCAGCAAAGGTTTGCAACTGGCCTCCAATTGGCTCAGAAAGGCTCTTTGTAGATGATGCACAGTGGCTTCCCCCCCGACATCTGACCCCCGACCCCCCCTCACTCATCTGTGTTGCTTCTTTTTCTCAACAGGTGGCGATTATTGCTGGAAACTTTGAGCTCGCAGAGCTCATCAAGAACCACAAAGACTCCGATATAGGTGAGTCACAAAGCTCTGCTCTGTCCTTTACTCACCCCACAGCCCCCCCACCCCCCACCCCCCCCCCCTTTGATTGCCCCCAAACGACGTTCCCATATAATCCCCTTCTGCAGGATTATGAGACGGTTGCTAAGGCGACGGTTTCAGTGTACAGTCCAAACAGAAATAAACGGTTTTGGGGTTTTTTTTAAATAATTTTTTTTATTTTTTTAATGTTTTGTTTTTGTTTGTTTTTTTTGTCCCAAATGAGCAGATTTAATCTGAGTGGACGCATAAGGGGAGCTTACAGCGACCTCTACAGCGGCCGCTTTGCGAGGATGATTTTTATTATCAGATTAGTGGCAAATTGCCCGGCTGAATCTGCTCCGTTGCCCCCGAATGAGTCCTTTCGCTGCCGTTATCGAGCAGAAGAGGAAGAGCTGAGCTCTGAGAGTGAGAGAAGAGGCGGACGTGGCTGATTGGGGGGGGGGATCGGAGGGAGAAACGGAGGATTCCTCATGAACTGGAAGCAGAAATAAAGAGGATTTTTGTTTTCTCTGAGATAACTGAGAAATAAAAGGGTTGTTTTTGGCTGCTTTGGCCTTAAATCAAGTCTAACTTCCCCTAATTTCTCCATGTTAGAGTCTGTATTAGTGTAACTAATTACACCAAATGTCAGCAGATCTGTTAAATCAGATAAATGTTGGCGTTCCTCCTAAATCTGTAGGATTTCTGACTTTTCTACTCAGAACTGGGGAGTCGTTTTCATTAAAAAAAAGAGGAAAAATCTAATTATTTAGTTATTTTCCCCCAAAAAAACAGCCGGATCTCTGAGCTCTTTCTGGATCCACACACACAAACATGACGCAGAGCCTGAAGTGACTGAACTGGACGGGAATCCACATCCAGACTAAAGATTTGGGATTTAAAAAACATTCAAAACTAATGAAACCTCCGTAACTGAAAGCGGGAGTGGATCACATGATTGTGATGTGATTTCTTTTTGCTTTTCTCACTCTGACTGTCAGCTAATCCGACTGCAAAGAGGCCAAAGTTGTTAATCAGACTTTAGGAGGGATCTTTTTCCAGAGGACACATGGAAAACATGCGGGGCCTAAAGGCCCGGCTGGCAAACAGGACGACCCTGAGGTTCGATTCAGCAAAACACAAGATAATTCACCGGTTAAATCAGTCTGAGTCTCCAAAAAAATGATTTTCCGAATTGTCATTTTTACTTTATTTTTCTAATCACGATTTAAAAAACACACACACACACATATATATATGTATGTTTGTGTGTGTGTGTGTGTGTGTGTACATCCTTTATATCCTTTATTAACGACTTTGATGTCTTATTTAATGTGTTATTTAATGTTTAACTTTGCATCCTGGAAGCTGTAAAAAAAGAAAAGAAAAAAAGATGGAGATCCTCTTATTTATTTCATTATTTTTTTACCGAACTCTGCTGAACACCTTTGCTTTGCCAAAGGGAGGCTTTACTGGAGAAAAAAACCCTTTATTTGCCAAAACTGCTTTATTTATTTCTGTTTGTTACCGAACTTTACCGGTGTCCAATAATGCCAAACCTGACAGAGGGACAGGAAAGAAAGAGGAGCAGTCGAAAGGAGGAGGATCCTTTAGAAAGAGAAAGAAAGACAACCAAACCAGACAACCGGCTGTGTGATCCTCTCATCTACACACAGGAACCAGCAGCTTGTTGGCTGGAAAGACGGTTTTGTCTGTAACTTCAGAGGGAAAAAGCCCAGATTGCCGGATCCAGGTGACCTTTGACCTCTGGCCTCTGCATGTGAAAGGGGATGGGGGGGGTAAACCCAGGAGATGCACCTCCAAGTTAGACTGCAACCCTCCGAAGTTGATCTCCAAAGCTTTGGACCGACCCAGATGCATTGTGGGAAATATAACCTGCCAGTGTCTTAGTGTGTGCCTTAGTGTGTGTCACTTAGTGTGTGTGTGTCTTAGTGTGGGTCTTTGTGTGTGTGTGTCTTAGCGTGTGCCTTAGTGTGTGTCTTAGGATGTGTTTGAGTGTGTGTGTGTGTGTGTCTTAGTGTTTGTGTCTTGTCTGTGTGTGTGTCTTAGTATGTTTGTGTGTCCTGGTGTGTGTGTGCGCTTGTCTTAGTGTGTGCGTGTTTTAGTGCGTTTGTGTGTTTTAGAGTGTGTGTGGGTGTCTTAGTGTGAGTGTGTGCGTATCTTAGTGTGTGTGTGCGTGTCTTACTGTCTGTGTTTTAGTGTGTGTGTGTTTGTGTGTCTTAGTGTATGCGTGTGTGTGTCTTAGTGTGTGTGTGGGTTAGGGTTAGTTCCTGTTTCAGGATGTGAGAGCAGCCGATGGTTTCTAACCACCGGTCCCTAAAATGAGCACCGATTGGCCGGTGGGGGGGGGCCCGCTCGGCTCGAGGATTACGGCGGCGTGCAGAAAATGAGAAAAGATGGACAAACAAACGAGTGGAGGGCAGAGAAGGATGAGGCCAGAGATGAAGGAAAAGAGGGGGAGGACGGGGCGGAGGGAGGGATCTAATCCGGTCTGGAGATGTAATCCTGCTGGAAGTGGAGCGGGATTACCCCCCCGAAGCCTCCCAGCCGCCGACAGCTGCCGCCCCCCCGCACCCAGACACACCAACTCACCACAAATTACAGTTTTACTTTATTCTGGCCCCACACAAATATTTCGGCCCAATAAAAGAATTTCAGCCCCTTCAAAAAAAATGTTTTACTATTTTACTAATTAAAAAAAATTTGGGATTTTTAAAAAGAATTCAACATTTCTTTAATTACTTAATTTTTCGTATTTTTATTTATTTATTTTTTGTCATTTTGAATCCACAAAATACTTTTTCAGGGCCAGAATAAGAAGAGTTCCTTTAGTTTTGGCGGTGCGAGACCAGAATTGCTCAGCTCGGGATCATGTAGAGAGGACGCTGACTTCCTGATAGACGGAATTCCATCCATTACAGTAACCTATTATTCCGTAATGGGGTGGTGGGGGACTGGAGCCTATCCCAGTGGTCAGTGGGGAGAGGCAGGGTCACCGTGGACAGTCCCCAGTCCTTCACACACAGAGACACACAAGGACCAACAACCACACATACATATTCACTCCTAAGGGCAGTTTGGAGTCCAGCCAACCTAACATACAGGTTTTTGGACGGTGGGAGGAAGCTGGAGAACCCGGAGAGAACCCACAGACACAGGGAGAACATGCAGACTCCACCCAGAAAGGTCCTGGTTCCCCCGGGGATTCAAACCCAGAACCCTCTGGCTGTGAGGGGATGGTGCTGACCACCACACCACCGTGCCGCCCTACATGTGAATCCATGTTGTACATGTTCGTCCGACCACTTCCTTTTTTGGCTCGACATATTTAGTATGGGTTGACATACAGCAGAACCTCTACTTCTGATCGCCTCAACATACGAATTTCCCAACTGAAGTGAAATTCGATCAAATATTCAACTGGTCACCCTGACTGGGCGTCCAGGCGGGCGTCCTGCTGGCTTTGGGCCGCTGAGGTGCAGCCTGTGGGGTGGATTTTGTGGACTCACCAGCAGGGATCTGAGCTCAGCCCTCAAATCTGATCCGATCCGACACCATCAGCTGTGAGTTTGACTCACAAACACAAAATAAATATGAATAATTAACCAAATTATGGATAGATAGATAGATAGATAGATAGATAGATAGATAGATAGATAGATAGATAGATAGATAGATAGATAGATAAATAACGATAGAGTAATAGGGCCACTTTTAAATGTATATTTTTTTAAATATATATATTTTTTAAATATATTTTTTATGGAATTAATTACGAGATTAAAGTTGTTTACTGTTTTCAACTGATAAATGAGTAAGTAAATAAATTAAATAATAAATAATATAAATAAATAGATTGCGATTGAGTATTAGGTCCACATTTTAAAAAAAAATAAAAAATGAATTACAAGGTTAAAGTCTGTTACTGTTTTTAACTGGTAAGTAAGTAAATACATTTTTAAATAGTGAGTAAGTAAGTAAGAAATATAAACAAATAAATTGCAGTTGAGTATTTGGGCCTTATAAATGGTAAACATTTTTTTATTTTTGGAATTACGTCTGCTACTGTTTTAACTGGTAAGTGAGTAAGTAAATAATAAATAAATAAATAAAACAATAATTATATAAAGAAAAGGCCACATTTTTTAAAAATGATATTTTTTGGAAGTATTTACGGGATTAGGCCGTGGGCATTGCTCGATTATAATTTTGTCAAAATCATTTCATTTCTCTGTAGATTACTTGCAATTAATTGCATTTATCTTATTATTATGATATTTAGATACATTTTTTCTCAGGATTTTCTTTCGACCGCCACAACGGCTGGAATCTTGCTGCAAAACGTGTGTTTTCTCTGCTTTTCCGGTCCAGTTTCCTGCTGGGAGTGAGTTACCCACATCAGGGGCTGAGATTTAAGCTAATCATCAGCGACTGGAGGGTCTAATCTGAACCAGGAAACGCAGAGGATCGTCAGATCCTGACGGCGGCGTCTGATTGGTGCAGGTCGAAGCGGGAAAAGTCCAAAGTCAGACAGAGAGCTGCCCGTTTGTCATCCATTTAGTGAGCTGTATCAGCCAGTTTCCCACCAGGGCCGGGTCTAAAGGGGCCCGAGGGGGCCTGGCCCCCCCTCAGACTAAACCCCCCCAAAACTGATTATTAAATGTCCAAGGTGATGCCATCTCCTCCTCCTGGTCCTGGTATCTGACTCCATCTGGACTCCAGGCACCGAGATGCAAACCAGAATGAGTCTGTAGGACCCAGAATGAGTCTTTAATACCAAGAATGTGCCTGTAGGACCCAGAATGAGTCTTTGGGACCCAGGATGAGTCTGTAGGACCCAGGATGAGTCTGTAGGACCCAGAATGAGCCTAGAGGACCTAGAAAGACCCTCTTGGACCCAGAATGACTCTGTAGGACCCAGAATGAGTTTTTGGGACCCAGGATGAGTCTATTGGACCCAGAATGAGCCTCGAGGACCCAGAAAAGACCCTGTTGGACCCAGAATGAGCCTGTAAGACCCAGAATGAGACTGTAGGAACCAGAATGGGTCTGTAGGACCCTGAATGAGTCTGTAGAACCCTGAATGAGCTTGTAGGACCCAAAAAGACCCTGTAGGACCAAGAATGAGTTTATAGGACCCAGAATGAAAGAGCTCAGAGATTTGGTTGTTTTGGGGGGGGGGGGGGGGGGGAATGGTTAAATATTTATATTTTTCTTCTTTTCTGCAACACTCTGATATAAATTCTTCAGTTTAAAACGACTCCTCTGAGGGGGGAAACACGAGGGGCCCAATCAGCCCCTAAGCTGTTAAACCTGCCCTTTAGAAACAAGGGCCCACTTATTTATTATCATATTCTCTTTGCTATTATTCTAATTTGTTATTTTACCAGGTTAAAATCCTGCACGCTGTGTATTTGGCCAATAAAGCGAC